GGAGAAATAAAAGTGGCATCAGCCCTGTCCGAGAAGACCTCTTTATGATGGAAAAATGAGTAAATAAACCACTCACTATAGCTTTCCCCGAAGAGACTAATACACTGTACTGTGCTGAACAGGGCACTTCTGAGAGGAAATGGGGAACATACCAAAGCGACCGCCTTGACCCGAATGTTCCAGAGTTTGTCTACTCTGATCATTGCTCAATTATATTTTATGCAAAGTCATCTTCGCTGTGGCAAAATTTCAGAACTTCTTTTATCCAAGAATTCAGGCAATGCTGATCTGGGTTCCCATCCACTTGTGCAGTACGAGGGTTTAATGATTCACAAAGGCATGAGTTTGTTGTTTTGTGTTGAATAAATATCTATGCATGACAAAAGATATGCAAGCAATATGTTTAAAGGGGAAGACCACATTTCTCAGATGATTATGGCATTTTGCTTTCAGTCTCGTGGTGCACAGAACTCCTGAACACATGCTACAGCTATCCAGAAACCCGTATCTATTGCAGTTAATTATTGTACTAATTTTTGCCATATGTTAGTTGAGTGCTCATTGTAAATTCTCCTATCCACTCATTATTCAGAATGATTCCCAAGTCCTTTCAACGAATGATATTCCAAACCATAGGTTATTAGAACTATGAATTGCAAGTATTTATAATGAATTACACAATTTGTGCTGCAACCAGAGAAACAAACCTTTGTATATGACATGTGAGTTGCAATCTCAGCCATTGAAAAATGAATAGGGCATGAATTTCAGACTGTAGCCACAGCTGCAGATTTCAATTCACTATTTGCATGTGTCCTGCCTGAATTTTCCAGTTGATGGTACACATCAGAATTGAAATAGGTGAATATCCAGGGGTAAAAAAAAGGGTTCTGGCAATTCCTACACTTGCAGAAAGCAAACTTGGAAAACAGGCAAGTCAAACTTTTCTTTCAAAGCTGAATATTTAATTCCAATACTCTTTCCCTTCATACACATAGATCCAGCTCTAACCAAATCCTATCTCCGGCTGTTCACGACATCTTCAAAGCACGGTTTGCGCCATGTCTCACCCCACCCAAGGCATGGGTGCCTCTCACACCAGCTGATGGAGAGTTCAAGAACAAAATGGGTGACAGGAAATCCTTTCCCCATCTTCTGGTTCATGATTTAAGGATAAAGTGGGGTGGTTGCCAGGCGATTAAGAAAGCTGTTGTCACCCTGATATCATGGTCGAGCCACTGTGCAGTCTGCTCCCTCGCCCCATCGCCACTGTGGTTGTGTCTGGCCCCAAGTGTGCTGTAAAAGGTCTCTCCCTGCCTGGGTCACCCAGAGCACCACAATCTTCACAGATCACTTGAAAAATAAATAAGAAAAAAAGAAAGAATGAGAACTGTGTCCCAAGCGGTCTCTCAGTCTGTGTGTGGTGAGGGTGTCTGCCTCTTCTCACTGCCGTGTTTTACCACACTCTGCTCCTTGTTCTTCTTTTTTTCCCATTCCTAATATAAATGTGAAAAATCCCAAAATGGGAATGTCAGAACATTTTCATGCTAAAGTTACCAGAAGAAAAAAAGAAGAAACGTCTTCCCTCCCTGCAAGGTACTCTCACAGGTCAGACACATCCAAGAGCAAAAGCCTGAATTTTAGCCATGACAAGCATATTCTTCACACTTGCAAACACACCAGTGAGATGATTGTGAGCAAGGACAGAACGGTTTGGACAGGTAGAGCTGAAGGAAAGTTCAAGATTGGAAGTAGAGAGGAGTTAGAAATACCAGTCCTACTGTCAACCACTCCTGACTCCTTTTGAGGCTAAATGACTCACGTCAGCTTAATACAAAATTGCAAATCTCTGCAGTTTTGGGGGGAAGAACTCTGCCCTAGACTCAGCACGAGGTCTGTCCTGCTCTTCACTGCTCTCCCTGCCAGGGTACAAAAAGCAGCTGTAAAATCCCGCTTGCACAACTTCCCCATTTGCAGAAGCTCTTGGTTGGGAAGAAACAACTTCGAGGTTGGAAAAGAAGTGTGTGAACCAGGTCCAGCCCCTACGCAGCTTCTCAGTTGGGTTGGTATGAAGCCAAGCCATACAAGAATGTTTCAATATTTCAGCTGCTGGGCACAAGACTCTTGTATTTCCATGCTAGTAAAGCAAATGTATGTTATACCTCGAGACAACCTGCATCACCAAATTTCTCTTCCACTCATGCTGAGTCCAACCTTTTTTGCATTTAAGAGAGAAGCACTGAAGAAATACACATACCTCAAGTGGTTAACTGTCCAAAGACTACAGTTCGTCGCTTTTCCTTTAATCCCCACACCTCTATCATCCTCAGTGCATAATCTGCACCAGGAAAAGAAGTCACTCTTTTCTCATCAGTTACAAAGCTGAGGAAAACAGAAAATAATTGCCCTCTGAAGTGCTGATGTGCAGAGCCACATCCCTCCAGCATGTGGAGGGAGGAGGGGATGCAGCAGCAGGAAGCAAGTGCCTTCTGCAGAGCTGGAGTGATATGGAAAGGCGGGAGATAATCTGACTTGCGCTTGTAGCATGTCGAAGAGAGGCAAACGTGCTCTTATCCATACAAGTACTCATAAAAGCTAGAAGTGGACAAGATGCCCTGTGCAGGTTTGGTTCTTATGGGGCCTTTTGCAATGGTTGTCACATCTAGATTGACAGGATTGTTATACATTTCCATGGATAATTTGTATGTGGAAGCAGAGTGGTACAAGTGGGAGGAAGAAGCCGGAAATGAGGAAAGCCTGATCTCAGCTCCACGGCGGGATCCACCATTCACTGCAGCCCACCAGAGCCTCCCCAGTTGGCCGGGGCGGCCGAGACCATGGCCACCCCTAGCTTTGGAGGGGAGGTGACTCTTCGCATTTGCTTTGGCCATCGCAGGGACATTGATATGTTTAAAAAGAGATTCAAAATGAGGAGTTTGTCAGCTCAGGGACACTGAGCACAGAATGAAGAAAACCCCCAGCAGCTCAGCCCTCCCAGAGGTGTGCTGAGCCTCCCCGGCTGCTCGCTCTCTCGGGAGCCTGTCTCCACCACCCAGCGTCTCCAGGGCAGCGCTGGCCTGAGCCTGCCTGTTCCACAGGGCATAGGCAGGACAATCAGGTCTCACAGCAAGATAACTTAGTGCAAAAGCAGTGAGACAACTTGGAGACATGAGGAGGCACCAGCATTGCCATCTGCAACACTTGGAGGTCAAACGTCAGCACGGACTGAAGCAATTCACCTTCTGTGTTGATGTGCTGCTCCCTGCCCTCCACATCTCAAACCACACCTAACAGAGGCTCCCTGTCGCCTCTCTGCCTTGTATACTTTTAACAAAAGGTATCTTGTTGCTGTGCTCACTAGCTGAAACAGATGCCACTCTCTCTTTGTCTTTATGCCACTGGGCTGGCCCCATAGTGAGAGCATGGAGCCACCCTGGTTAACCAGGGACAGGAGTGAGCCCTCCCTCCCCTTCTCCTCATGCAGGGACGCCTTCCCAGTGTTCGCCCCTGCAGCTCCCCAGCCAGACGTACCGGCTCGCTCGCTGCCGGATGGCATGCTGCGTCCAGCAAGGGCTGCTCTCTCAATCCTCCTAACCACAGCAGAGGAGCATCTGGCTTGTACCCAGGAGCACAGCTCTGACAGAAATACAGGTTGAGCGTGGCATGCATCCATCACAGAGTGCTCTGGGATCATAGCCCCCGAACAGTTTTTAATCAGCAGAAGATAAATACATTGTAATGTCCTTCAGGACTTAAAAAGCTTGAGAAGTCTGTCTCAAGTTTGTGACAAAGCCCTGCCCTGTCTCCCATCCATTATATGGCTCAGGACTCTTTCCAAAACTTCAGAGATCATTGCAGAAGGGAGCTTGGGGCAAACCAGCAGATCAGACTCAGCTGGGAAGTGCTCAGTGTGTGATTTACTCTCCAGATGGGTTCAGCTCTGAACACAAATATGGTTGCCAAGTCCTCACCTGCATGTGAAGAGCCATGAATCCATCTACCAAAAGAACCAAATCTTCTCTAGACAGTTGCATAGAAACACTTATGTGGGTTTTTTTTTTTCAGAAATTGCAGTTTGTTCTGATATTATGGGAGATAGATAACTTTTTCCCTGCCTTCCTCCTGTGCTCTGCCTCCCACCTCTCCGCTCAGTGAGGAGAAGACCGCAGAGGGTGCCTCATCCCACAGAGCCCTCCAAACCCCTCTGTACCCCCACAGTGCAGAGCCCACGTGCTCTCTCTTGCAATGAACACATTGTGGTACTCAGTGAAGGGTGCAGTATGTGAGGTGTGGGGTTCAAATTCACTGGGACCCCAAACTGCCAACCAGCAGGACTATGTCCTGCAGCCCCTGTGAGGCATGCTCAGCTCCCAGAACTCCCACAGAGCTGGGTGCTGCTGCCTTGCACAGGGGCAGGCTTTGACTGGGTTATAGTAAAAGGCAGACACCCCAGCGTTTTCTGAGCTGCTAAAACACAATGGCAAGTATCCCCCCTCCCAGTGCGCCATGGAAGTGCCCCAGCAGGGGGGGGGGATGAATTTGGGGAAATTCATCCTTTGCCTTTCATTAGTTCAGAAGATGCAGCAGCAGCTGGTGGGGCTACAAAGATGGAACCTGAGAAGGGGCAACGGGGGTCATAATCCCTTTGCTAGAGAAGACGGAGTAGGCAGCCTCCCTCAAGGTGCTCCCCGTGGGATCAAGTTGTTCCCCTCCCAAACAGCAGGGCTTGCCAAAAATGCATACATGACTTCTGCATTCTCCCAACTCTTTCCTGAACACACCTCTGGAGAAACTGCACATGCCAACACTTATCTGTTCTCTACGAACCCAGTTTTTCTGAGCACCCTAAGGATTTCTGGATGCTTCTCTTGCCCCCCACCCTTTTTAAACAGCTAATCCATCAGACATTTCAAATGTAAAGCGAAACCAATCCTTTACGAAAATTCTAGAGAAGTACTCTTCCTAATGACTCCAGGCACTTTGCAGCATCCGAGAAACACTCACCTTAGTACATGAGTCGATCCATTTATTGTGGTAGTGGAACAGGGGACCGTCTGCCCCAAGATGGAAGGCCTTCGGTATCGCTCATCACCACAGCACAGGATGATGAGGAAGGCACGTCTGAAAGACTTGTTCAGGAAGGCGTAGAGGAAAGGGTTCAACCCTGAATTGATGTAGCCCAGCCACAGAAAAGCTGTCCACAGCTTCCCCGGCACCGTGTAGTTTATGAAAGGGTCCACTACGTTTGTGATAAAGAAGGGGGCCCAGCACAGGCAGAAGCACCCCATGATGATGCACAGGGTCTTGGCAGCTTTGGTCTCAGTCTTCATGCGGTGTGTGCTGTGCTGGTCCGGGTGGTGCTGCCGGCCGTCGGTGGGGGCCCCTGCACGCTGCAGCACCCGGATCTGGCGGGCGTGCTCCCTGGCTGTGACATAGATGCGGTAGTAGGCCAGCACCATCAGGAGGAAGGGAATGTAGAAGGCCACCACGGAGCAGGTAATGGCGTATGGCTTGTTGACCATGAATATGCAGTAAGTGGAGTTGGAAGCCTTGTTGAACTGCCTTTGCTGAATCTGGAGCAGGGGGAGGAAGGACAAGGAAGGAAAGAAGTTCAGCACTGCTCCTCTGATACCAGAAGTCTGTTTGCCAGGACACCTCTCCACTGCTTTCCAATTCTCTCTCCTCCCTCCTCTCTCCCATCCACGGTACCTGCCTTACCCACTGCTGCCTCTCCTGCCTGTGCTTACACCATGGGCTCTCCGGCCGTGCTGGTCCCCAGGTCTGCAGGACCAGTCCATGCTGTAGCTCTGGCATCCTAGAGCATCCTTCAACCTGGGCAGTGAAAATCAGCCTAACTAACTCCCCAGTTCAGACACAGTGAAAGGGAATAACTTCACTTTGTGCCATGTTTTTTGCAGTGCTTACTCCTCTGTTCAGCAGCGCGTGGTTTTACACCAAGGATGCACAAGTTTCACCCAGCTGAGTCCCACAAGGGTATTAGAGAAGGACCAGATGGACAGGGAAGGGACTGGGCTGCAGCATCTGGGGGGCAGCTCCAGGCTGGGGGTGACACTGAGCTTCCCAGGCACAGGGGAAGCTTCCCAGGCAGCAGCCCAGGCAGGAGAACTCTGCAGGTTGAGTCCGTGGGCTGAGATCTGGTCAATGACTTGTGATGGAAACAGAGACAGCAGAGAAGAAAGGGGTCTTGCATGTAAGTTTGGGGAACAGGGGGCATAAGTGAGACAGACAGGATTTCTCTGAGGTTATTCCTGGCACAAAACAATGTCACTTCAGGTCCATCGGGCCCATAATTTCTGCTGTTTATTCCAACAAGAGAATAACCCTGTCTCCTGTTTAAAACTATAACATCAAAATTATTTATTAAATTATTTAAATGATTTATTTAAATTTATTCATTTAAATTCATTTATTTAAATAATCTATTTCATTATTTATAAATTGGGCAAGTAAGGAAGTTTACCTCTAAAATAAACTACGAAGCATTTTCACTAGGTGGTGTTTGAACCTTGCACTACCTCTCACCATGCAGCTACTGGAATCTGCACGGTGAATGCCAGCAAGTTACAAGGAAGGGCAGGGCTTGCGCTGGTGTTTAGAAAGTCTGATACAGACAGCTGGGTGTTGAGTCCTTTCTGAAAAGGTGGGGGCAAAACATAAGTGGAAGAAATCAGATACATGACATGGTTTGTTAAATAAACAAAATGCAGGTCTCTCTTCTACCAGCTGCATGTCCTAAAGGTGCTTGTCTGGAAGCAATTTTGGCTTTATCGCCTTGTCTAGAGGCTTGGCAGCTTGCACCTGTGACTCTCCATGAGTCAAAAAGTATTCATAGCTCCTTGACTGAGCCTTGACTGAGGCTATGACTGTGGCATAGAAGATGCTACATCTCTTTAAACAAGCTCTTCTAAATAAGGTGTTTTCACAGTTTGCCATTTTTTATTTCCTGCGTCTCCCGACTGGAAGGAGAGCAGATTTGCAGCTCTTAACTCCTTGCCCTGCAAACAGGATCCCGCAACTGAAGCCAGACTGTAGTGGGGAAAACTCCCGCTGAAATGACTTGCACTGGGGGGAACTTCATCTTCTCCACTACCTTCAAGGCTCACACCAAGACAGGCGTTATTGATGGGAATGGCCCAAAGCATCATCCCTTCTGGGGAAGTCTTGGTTTCCCAGCTCTCCAAATATCGCTAGCATGGCAAGGAATCTCGGGCTCAGGCAGCAGTGGCCAGCACTCCCCAAGAGCTGCAGAGGCCAAGAGGAACCAAGGACTCCCGAGGTGCCTGTTGGGAGCCAGCTGGGGCTTGGCGTGTTTTCAAAGGACTAACTGAACTGAATAGTAGACACAGGTAAGATCTCCCAGAGCCACCACTGTCTTTGTGACACTCCTTCCAGGACAGAGTTGTTTCCAACCCCCTTAAAGACACCCTCCAGAAATTCAGCAGCCCCTGTGCATCGATAACAAAGAAGTTTCTCCTTCAGCCTCTCTTGCCTTCTTTTCTCTGAACATTGCTTTTTAAAGAAGAATGTACAGCACCGAATATATTTGATACCAGGCTGGCGTACCTCCTTAGCTACTCACCAGATCAATGATGCCAATGCTATTCCAGCCTTGCATGATAGGGAGGAAAGATATAAATGTCGGGATTACCCAGCACCCTCCAAGCATTACAGTGATGCGCAATGGAGTCATCTTGTTCCTGTAAACCAGAGGCTGGCAGCAGATAGCATAGTACCTGCAAGGAGAAAAGTGAGAGAACAACCATCATCAAAGGAGACTTCCAGGTCTTCAAAAAATAAAACTGTAAAGCATTTTCTCCAGCTTGTTTCTCCTGCCTTCAAAATAAGAGAAAAAAAAAAAAAGAGTCTATTTCCATGGACTGCCTCTTACACAAGGAGCTCAGGATATTTTCACAGCATGAGTAAATAAGGTTTCATAGTGCCTTGCAGGGGAAAGCCAGTATTTTCTGTTTTCCAGGTAGGGAAAATGAGGCACAGATTAATGCTGTGGTTTGTCTGAGGTCGCAGAGCAAGGGAGTGACTTAATACTCAGCCCTCCTCTCCCTCTGCATTTAGTCTGCATTTAGTCTGCATTTAGTCACAAAGCTGTCTGCACCCTCCTTACCACGAGGAATGAATCCACCTTCCTTCCATTTAGCCCTAACTGAGTAAATGTTGGGGTTTTCCTAACTGCAATGGACATTTATTTTGACAAGACTGCAAAAGCTGTTATTGCAAATTAACAAAGTGTTTCAAAGCTGTGAGAATGTCAGTAAAATGAAGTGTGTTTTTCCGTAACCAAGCTCCCTTTCTACCTCCCAGGAATCAGCCTCTTGTCTGGCTGGGTTTTAACCTTCTGCAACAAGGACAGGGCAAATGTCTGCACAGGGCTTCTAGTCTTTTCACCGTCAAGGGGATGTGCCCTGCGTTCTCCTTTCTCCTCCTGATCCATCCAACAGATTCATAGTACAACAGGTCCCTGCTCTTAAAATAACAACCAGCTATGAACTAAAAATATGTTCTCAAAGAGATACAAAATCAACTCTTCTGTCTGTTTGGTCCCTGTGCTACCCACCTGCTAGCAGATTTCTACATCAGGAAGGTGCATCAAAGCTAAAACTGGAAATCTCCTTGCTCTGAAATTAATGTAGGCCCATAAGCATAGCAGATCAGCAACCATATAATCCTGTTGCAGATTTTTGGTGGTCCTGACCTGACAGTCTATCTCAGGTTCCCAGTGAAACGTTTTCAATCTTTAGAGTTTTGGATTTCAGCACACGCTGTAGAGACAGGCCAGCACTGGTGTCCCTACTGCTGTGACAGGGAACTGGGGTCTAGAGACACAAGAAGTGCCCATAAATTCTCAGCTCTTCTAAATAATGAAATATATAATTCAGCTATGTGCCCGATTAATATATTTTCTTAGTGAATTAATAATGGTCATCTAGTAGATGTAGTTTCCAGATTTGGTAAGCACAGAAATTATGCAACATGGTGTCCCATAGGATATGACCGGTGCATTGAAGAAGTGGCCACAATTTCAAAAACTATAAAGGGAACGAATGACCTCTGTCAAGAGATTTTTTTGAGTCAAGCCTCACATCAAGGCATAATGTGTACGTAGAGAGCGCCTCACCGCTGAATGCCTATAAAAGTCAATTTTATGAGGTCAGTAGAACCATGGATTAGAGACATTAAATTAGCAAACACATGCTAAAGCTGGACCACTAACCTGAGATGCCTGCAGCACATTAAAATAAGACATATGTGAATGCACACATACACACACTTTATGTGTATGTATTAGAGAGATGTCCTTGAGGTACACAATTTATTTCATCAAGATATGAGTGCGAACCAAAAGTTTTGTGTTAAACAGGCACAAAAATCTAAGAATTTTCAAATTTTCTTAAGACTTTTTTTTAAAAAGTCATGTGGAGTCAACTGAATTGTGTTATTTTGATAAAAAATCAGATGATATATTCCACACAAAGGGTTGAAATAATATCAAAGTGTCAAAAGAAAACATTTTTTAAAGTCTCTTTGAAACAAGATTCAAAATGTCACAGCCGAAAAATGTTGAAACAAGCATTCAACTATTTCAATTTCATCATTTCTACATTCTCCTCTGGTTTTGTGTATGCATGAAAATCAGCCTGTTCCTCTGAAGAGTTTCACTTTCAAAGAAATGGCATATTTGACAGTAATGTTCTTGTAGAGCATTGGGTGAAATGTTCCTCTCGTGGAGCTAACAGCCATGGCAGTCAGTGGGTCCAGTTCCTGTCCCCACTAACACAGCCCTCGCATCCCTCCCACGAGGGAGAAGGAGAAGTTGAATCATTTACAGGAGCAGAATTTACTTGGTTTTGGAGCTTGCCTTCATTGGATCACGAGTTTAACAAGCAAGGGTATCCAGACTCAAAGATAAGCAAAACTCAACTGGCTAAGGCCCTGAGTGACCTAATCAAAGGAAGAGAGCTTTAAGTTTGAGTTTGGCCCTGTTTTGAGAGGAGGGCTGGATCAGAGACCTCCAGAGGTCCTTTCCAACCTACATTTTTCTGAGTCTATCAGACCATGAGGACCATCCCAGTCAGATTTCAATATCTTAATGATTTCAGAGGATAGAACAAATATTTCCTTTGTTCCTAGGATAACTACCCTCCTCACGACACCCACAATGTGTTTGTGTAACCTTGTCCTGTGTTGCTAGAGCTTATTGCGTTTGGATTTCCCCGTTCTCCAGATTTCCTTTCTCCAGGAAATAAACTGATCTTTGAATTCAAACAGGTATTTTCAGTAACGTTTTTGACTCTTACTAGGACAGATGGTGCTTCTCTTGGCATTACATGCTCTTCTGACTCTAAACACAAGGGAGATCTCTCTGGCATATTTAATGGTTTATTATCTGAGAGGCATCTACTGGAAAGGGCTACCCAGTGCTGGACAGCAAAGGATTCCTGTGACATGCCTGATGGCAAGTTACTGCAAGTCACAAGAGACTACATTTATTTGCAGAAAGGGCAAAGGAAGAAATTCAATAAATAAATGGGAAAGAACAGCCAAGACACCAGCTACCATTTCACAGGTTGAATAAGCAAACAGAAAAGGAAAACCATGATACATTGGTAATTAACTACAGCAGGAAAACAATTCTTCCAAGCAGTTTGAGTTATTACATTTCTGTACTTCTCCCTCTGCTGCAGCTGACAGCATTACACTGACTTGTACATGCTATTAAAGGCCATTAGAGTAAAAATTATGCCTGTAAAAATGACATCTTAAGCTCTCATATTTCTTCCCTCCCAGTGATTCAGCAGCAATTTTCCTCCACTTACATGTCAGAAGACTATATATATATTTTTTTTTGCTAACTGCTACTACCATGACTTCCCTTGTGTTCAGAAAGTCGAGCTGGGTTCCTCCTGCCCTACACCGTTATTGGTAACAAGGTTCCGCAATCAGAGTGTGGGTGACAATTTTGCTGATGGCGAGGAAGGGAGAGAAGCACACCGTCCACTTTTCCATAGCTCAGCAGGATTTTCATTCAATGGCCCAGAGAGTCAAATAGAAATCTGTGTATGTTAACAGAAGTTGTTGAAGTCACGCCAATTTTTGCAGTAGCTGGTCATTTGATGTATGTGATGGCTTGGGCATTTAAGCAGCTATTTATTCACTGAGAGAAAAGTAATTATATCTCTAAGATTATCAATAGTTTTAGTCAAAAGCTGAAATAAAGACATTTCCTTATTCTACATTTCTGCTTCCTTTCAAGCTGGAGCTGTTTTCCTGTGCTCATAAAGAATATCTATTATGTACTGGTGTGACAGTGTGATGGATGAATATAAAATGTAATACATACACATGATTAATACCATGTCCAAGTTTAATTAAATATTAATTCTTACTATTATCAGCCAAGACCCGTGTTTCTGCAGTTCCTTGAAAATGTTAACTTCCCCGTTACCTACAGCAGAGCAAATGATGCGAAACACATCCTCTCCTCCGCCTCTGTTATGACATTCCTTGCTGAAGGGGAAATACAAGAATCCCTTCCTGGAGCTGTAGATCTTCCAAGTAGCTCCATAAAGCAAAGGTTATTATAATACTTTTCCTTTCCCATATCAGACATTTGCCACATGAATGAATTGTGCTAACACTTTACAGATGGCTCAAAAGAACAAATCCATAGCTCTTATGGCCACTGCAGATATGTCCGGCTATCAAGGATTTGTGACCTGCCCAGCATCACTTGGTGGCTCCAAGAAACACTGCAGTGGCCAGACCCTGTCTGGAGGAACATGAATGTGATGCTCCCTGGTCTTCCAGTGGAAGTTCCAGTGATATGGGTGTGGGAAGGACCGATTAGTGCCATGTGGATCAATTCCCAGCGACCTCATGTGTTACGAACACTGTCCCAGCATCTCCAAGGGGATGCAGGTGCACCTCTATTATGGTCATGAAACCTATTAAAAACGCTCAAGGTTCAATGATTCAGTGCCACAGTCTGGGGGGCAATTTTTCCTCTGTATTCCTACATTCATCACCAGCAGGATCTGCCACAGTCACCCAGAGGAGCCTCATATACACAGTGTCCACAAGCTGTAGGAGGAAAATGTTTTATCCTTTCCCGACAGGACTTGTGCTTTGCCTGCTGGCGAGCTCCTCTTTACAGTCAGTGCTACACGTAAAACCAGAAAGCAGATATAAATGCCTGATGAACAGTACATCAGCAACACATTCGTACGTAACAGCCTTCAGCACTTTGGGTAGAGAAGACATAATATCACATTCCTCAGCAGCAGGATCATGGACAGCTTGCCTCATGTTAAACTGGTGTATATGTGAAGACAGGAGATGGCAGATAGGAGGGAAGCTGTGAATCCAAAGAGAAAATAGACAGAAAATGAACCTCAGTTATATCCTTGCCTTGTACGACTGAACGCTGAATCTGCTGTGCTGGTCCAAGGCTTTCGTGGAAATTTAAGTGTTGTAAATCATGGGTGTTTGCTGTTGCCATTTTGCCTGTGCGAAAAATCCTACACGTACATGCACACGCATATATGCATGCTCCTTGTATCATACCCTGCCTTTCCTCCAGGAAAAAAACAGAAAAAGAAACAATTCTTGAAAAGCACATCAACTTTTAAGTGATGACACCTGTAGTTATTACAAGTTTATAGCTTCTAGGTTCTTGGGGGTGAGAAAGGAAAGTGGAGGGACTGAGAAACAGCACTGC